TATGATGTATTACCTTTAAATAACATGTCTGGTTCGTCTAAGGTTCCGTTATCATTTCCACATCCCTTCATATTTTGCATCTTTTCAATGGCCTGCATTTTATCCAGTGTAAATTCTACTTTAGAATCACTTTCGTTATTATTACCTTGAACTATTTGTCTTTTTTTGAATTCTCTAGCTTTTCGACTCTCTAATATCATTTCATATCCTGATCCCACAATCGTCAATATAGTCACTAGCCCAACAACAATCCTGAAACCATAATTAAACAAATAATGTAAAATATTAACGAACAATTAATATCATATCAGGTATCTTTTCGAGTATATAATATTAAAAAATATATTTGAAATGTATTAAACAAACAGTTTTTACTTACAATAACAATTGAAATTTACCATCCGACCACAAAGTATATGTACCAGGCACAGATCTGACATTAAGCACGCTATAACTACGATAATTAGATTCATTATCTTCCTTGGGAACACTAACCATATTTTGCACATCTGTAGAACTGCAATCCTTTGGCATACACAGACCAAGTGAAATCAATCTAGTCTATAACAGAAACATTTTTTGACACCATGATATTATATAAAAACATTAAATATTTATCAATACATTACAATATTTGTTTAAAATTTAAATGCCCTGATATGCTTTTTAAAAAAAAATCAAAATATCGTATCGCACCGATTTGAATAAAAATATTTTTTGGGTTAAATACYCTTTGTATGTTTCTGATCGATTTTTCGTAAGGTTTTTGTTGTAATAGTTAGCTTATAATYCATAAATTTACCTTGTAAATGAAAAATATCAGGTAGTTTATTATGGTTTTTTTTATTTAAATATTCACTATAGATTATAGTATATATTATGTATTTAAAACATTTTGTCTATAAGCTAATCAATAAGAAATATTCTAGCCAATAGCCTAGCGCCCTAGCAGCATTAGTCACAATAAATAAACATCTGAATGTTTATACTACGCGATACTCGTGAATAGCCAACAGAGATAGGGTTAGAAGATAATACAATTTAAAATTTATAGTTCATGGATTATTGGTTAATAAAAATAAATATTTTAACAACTTAGAGTGTTTTTAAATTGTGTACATTTTCTATTTGATGCATTTGTCGTTATTACAGTATAACAAAGAAATATCATCAAGGCAGTTGACTCTCGTGATTGTTAGGCTTTCTCTGATAAAATATGACGACCTACCATTTTGAAAATGTTGACAGCCTATAGCCTTATGACCTTTGAGTTTTGACATTTTATATATTTTATTAAATTATTCATGCGATAATATTTTATCTACCATCATCACATGACTCTTGTTTTTATTTACCCATAGGTATACACATAGTATAATTTTTCATTTATGTTCGTGACAGCACATCTAACTAACTCTTCGTTCGTCCTAAAGTATTATAATGAATAATAATAGGTATACCACACACGTGTACAGTATAATAATAATATGTAGGTACCTATATTATATCCACTAGGTACTTGGATCAAAGTAACTGCTAATCTGTGGTTTTGCTCGTTAGTCAAATATCAGGTCCTATTATACAATATAATTTAAGTACCTTATAACTTTATAAGTATCTTAAGCTCAAGTGTGTATTACAATGTAGGATACAAATTATAATACTCTCTCTAGTTAGTCTATTATAGTAATATATCATATTATTATAATATTGCCAACTATCAAACCATATAGCCATTAGCTGCTAGTACTTACTTTGGGGGTCAACTGATCATGTAATTTGATCGCCAATTTCGCAACGTAGAATTTAGCTTCGAAAGGTGGCACGTATTGATTAGTCGCTTTGTTCTGTAACTCTTTGCAGAGAGTATGGGATCCCAACCAAAAGTCATTACCGAAAAATAGCTGTGACGAATAACGTCCACTGGCGTCGGCCACTGAAAAATAAAACGTTTTATTATTATTGCACTTTATTTAAGAATTATATATACATAATACGTAATAAGTGCAAAATATTAAAGAGAAATGTTTTTAATTGGAAAACATGATAATATGCTGACTATTGATGCAACTAAACTATTTATATTTTACAAAAAATGAACAAACTACATGCTATTAAAATAATCCAAAATCAATAGACTTAATTTCTTGTCKATGTCTTTTCACCAAAATAATTAAAACAATTATAGATTATTATTTTTTTCTTGTAAGCAAGTTGATTTTTCCATCAAATTCATTTTTCTAGTGTTCGTGGAATTTTTGTTGTCAGCTAACAGAGAGGTATACATAATACAGGATTTGGGTGGCCCAAATACTTTCTTTTCACATTTAGTTTTTTTCCTTCTCCTATTAGAGCTATCGTGAAAGTGGTTAAACTGGTCAAGAAATCGAGACCTTGGTTGGCCATGTATAAATTGCACGGCGTGTATGTACACTTGCCCGCGATAATTTTGATTTGTTTTCAAGGTTACTCGAATGAAAAATTGATCATCTTGTTGAAAATATAAATTTGTCTTTTATATTATATAGAACATTTGAAATTTTCATGTTCAATGATATCAGAAACAGTACAGTTGTTATTGAGAATAGAATTCACTTAAATAATAGWAAAAAAATATTTACATTGCTCTTTGGTGAAACTTCAATCGGTTACGATTACGAGAGTCGTTATAATATGAACGTAGAGTGGCTAATTTTTTCTGGACTTGAACAAGTAAACATCTTATACGAAAAAAAAATAAAACACTTTCTTTTTTCTCACATGCTATATTTACAATTGCCGAATATAATATGACTGTTATTATTTAATTAGTTAACTTATAAGATTCAAAACATACTTTCCAACACTTTTTTTACAAAATGTTTAATGAAGATTAATTTACGTGACTTTTCTATAACTTGAGATAAATATAATGAAGGGAGCTTGAAATATAAAATTTTCTATTACACACACATATTTTATACATGTCATAATACCAAATTACCTTGATATTATTTGTAAAAGCAAATGTGTACAAATTATGTTGGGAAAAATAAGTTCAGCTCCGATAACAATTTTTTAAACCAGCAAACCATAATAAACTTAGCGATTAGTTAGCACATAAATACAGTTGTTTGTAGAATCCTTGATTAATATTTTATAAGTAGTTACTATGCAGCTAGATAGACTTACAACAATATTTTCCGTAGATCATTCTTTATTTATAAATAATACCAGTTTAAAAATATGTTTTAAAAAACTTCAAGTCTAGAATTGTTCGATAATTTATTCAGATTTTCCATAGTTCAAATTCGTTTGTGCGTTGTAGTATTTAAAATTAGAGTTAATGATTTATCGAAAAATCCAGTTAAATACATTCAACCTTCTTATAAATTATTTATATTATTTATAAATTGTCACATAACTATTATTACTTATTGGATAATAACTAACAAGTAACTTACTAATTATTTGATTTGTAAAGCTATTGTCATATAGGTGCACGAAGTTAATGACATTTTAGTAGATATAACCGATCGATTAATCCAATGACGGTGCTTATGTTTGGAATAAAACGTGATAATCGCTCGGCATCGTGTTATAAATATATTACTAATAAGTAATAACTTATACCTATATTAGTTGCAGTGCATTGTAATTTGTAGAAATCATTTGTTGAGTAACAAGACGTATGAGCAATACTATACCTATAGGCTATAACAATATTCCATAAATTAAAATGGAAACGCATCATACATAATTTTATTATTACTGGTATGATAATACTGCCMAAGTTTATGAAATATGMTTGGTAATCTACTAAAATATAAATATTTATAAAAAAAGTCATATTGTTTGTTTAAGTTCACAGGATAATCAAAATGCAAATAAATTTTATAAAATTTGAAACAGAAAACTGTAGATATGAACACATATAAAGTTAGTCAAATAGGTAAAATAATAAATAACCATCTGCAAATAAATAATATAAAACGCATTAGCGTACACACGTTCTGTGCAAAGCGTGTGCCCTGCAATACTTTTTAGGGCCAAATCCTTGTATTATATTATTAGGCATCATTAGTTATTATAWACTAAATTGTCTCATATATTTAATTTATGTAGTTATTATTGTTTTAAAATGTTAAGATGTAAACTAAAATATCTTGTAAAAATTATAATAAGAATTTATTAATTYAATTATTACACTTATTATTATATTAATTACATTGATACATAACTACATAAGTACCTATATTATATTATATTATACAGTGTCATATAAACATATAGTATATTAAATCTTCTCTGAGTTTTTTCTTCTAAGTATTTTAAACATGCAATATTTATTTATTCTTCTCTTCTTTTCCTTCATCTTCTCTACCAACTATTTGGGGTCGGTCACCCTGATCCTCAATTTCCACTTACCATGATCCTTAGCATCCTTCTCACAAACACCAGTCATTCTCATATCACATCTATAACTTCAAACCATCTCTTTTTCGGTCTTCTTCTTCCTCTTCTTTCGTATACATTCATGTTCTTTGTCATATAATATTCATTTATTGTTTATATTAAAATTTGTATTCTATCAGATGGCCAAAATTATTTAAATTTATTTYTGATATAGTAKTATATACTATATAGAATATACAATCAAAAACACAGTCAAAAAATAAATACAGCCAACAACAATTGATTTTATATAGCACGTCACTTGGTGGTATTTWATTATTTTATTATRATAATATGTTTTATATCAGTTGACATTATTGATACAAAAACAATATAACGTGCGAATGTWACGGGTATTTAACAATATAAAAGACGGACTGCGTGAACAACGCTCGATCTATACTCGTAAAAAACTAAAATTTATAATAMCAAATGACAGCCAACTTACACCGCGAACGCGGAAAGCGATTGGTTCGTCTGATTTTTCATCACGTTTGTAAATTAACAATATATTATACGCCCGCTAAATATTGTTTTGCAAAGAAAAACGTATCATACGCGGCAAACGGGCGCATATACGTCCATGAACAGCTCATATGAAAGTCGTGTGAATTTACCATTTCCTGCGTTCTTATATATTTCGATAATGCGCAAATAGTAATTCGTGTACATGCKATAATATCACCGGTGTGTCAAATCGAGAAATTATTAACGGTGTAAATTTTTCTATATTTTTTTCTCGCTCTTTGTAATATCACCAACAAAACTTCCAGCACGCATTTGATTCGCGTATTATAGTAATAACAATAACAAAACGAAATGTACATACAACTTAAGTACCTATAATGATTCCGCGTTCCGAAACTATAAACTGTAATAATTTAATATTTGGCATTACATAAGGACGGACGTGGTTGTATATTCTGATTTTTCTCATCGATATAATATAATGCAGACTTATCCGTATAAGTAGTTTCTGCCTTGTTTAGTATATATTAGGRGAAGAAGTGCAAAAGCCAATTTCAGTTGTTAATCACTTGCGCTATATAATATATTAATTTACTAAGTATTGTGTTTAAATGTTTTTAAATTTTACATCAATAAACGATTGCAGCAGAGGAGTAGTATTGTRCAAACAGACTCTCCTCTGCTGTCGGTTCTAAATAGGAAAAAAAGTAATTTCTGCCAGATACCAATCGGATGTCAGCACGATATTATGAAAAACTCACACAAATCAAACGATAATGACAATAATACTTATTACTATTATTACTTCTCAGTTCCTGATAGTTTTTCAGACAAAATCTTCAAAATCTATTCGTACTACTCGTATATAGTGTCACACTGTCACGGTCAGCAAGCGCCCTCTCAACTGCAAATGGCCTACTACCTTAAAATGTAGGTAAGTTCCATAAATTT